AAAATGATAATAACTACACATATAGCAACAATTACTTCCAAGATAAAGGGATTAAACACTCCAATCAAAAGGTAAGGTGATTGAATAAATAAAAAAACAAGACCCTTACGTGTGCTGCCTATAAGCAACTCACTTCAGATCACAAGAGACACAGACGGGGGGTGAGAGAACAAAGAAAGATATTTCAGGAAAATGGAAACAAACAAAAAGCCTGCGTTGGCAATACTTATACCAGACAAGATAGACTTTAAAACATAGACCATAACAAGAGACAGAGAAGGACTCATTAATCCCACTTTTGCATATTTATCTGAATAAACCCAAAACACTACTTCGAAGGGACATGTACATCTATATGTCCATTTTAGCAATATTGACACTAACTAAGATATAGACGTAACCTGGGTGTCTACCAATGAATGAATGGATAAAGAAGAAGTGAGATATATGTATATTCCATATATATAATGGAATATTAGCCATTAAGAGAGAATGAAATCTTCCCCTCTGCAACAGCATAGATAGACCTAGAGGGTACTGTGCTGAGGAGAATAAGTCAGACAGAGAAAGACAAAATGCCATACGATTTCACTTACGTGTGGAATCCAAAGAACGAAACAAAAAAACAAAACAGAAACAAACTCATAGATACAGAGAACATTTTGATGGTTGCCAGATGGGAGGACCTTTGGGGGTTGGGTGAAAAAGGGGAAGGTATTAAGAAGCATAAATTGATAGTTACAAAATAATCTTGGGGATGTAAAGCATAGCATAAGAAATATAGTCAATTATATTGTAATAACTGTAATGTCAAATGGGTACTAGATTTATCAGGATGATCACTTCATAAGTTATATAAATGTCTAATTACAATGTTGTATACTTAAAAATAATATAATATTGTATGCCAACTATAATTGGGAAATTTAAAAAATTATTTAAAAACTAAAGGTACGCGAAAATTATTACTTACCATGAATTAAATTCCAACACAAATATTCAAAAGAAGACTCTTAATAAAGCATTAGTAATTATAAAGGAAAATTGTAAAACAGAAATACCAGAATTCTAGGATAAGATAGCCAACAATAAATCTAGGCAGAACAGAAATTTGCATATCTTAGAAATAAAAGAAAAAAGACAAAATAAGCCATTACAGAATTGAAGAGTAAACAATAAGGAGCCACAGTAGGTACCTATAGAATAAAAATTAAAAAAGAAAACAAAAGGAATTATATTAAAGAGATATACAGCATCTAGGAAACAATGACAGATGTGGAAACTAGGTAGAAAAAAACTTCATGCCCATAACTGGAATTCCCAAAAAAGAAAGCTAAGTAATGGAATAGAGCAAATATTCAAAAGAACAATGAAGAAATTGTTCCTGAAGTAAAAGAGATCTAGAATCTATATCGAATGGGCAAATTGCATACTTGAGAAAACTGACCCAGAGTAATCATCACTGAGATAAACCCCAGAAAAATCATTGTACTTTAAAGATAAAAAAAGCCAGCCAGCCAGAAAGATCAAATCTCTTTTTAGAAATTCCAGTGAATTAGAAATCAGACTTCTAGGGACTGCTTAATCTTCTGTGCCAGAGCAAGTACAGAAACATCTAGAAGACACTCATATAAAATAGAATGAACTGTAAATTTCAAGTCCAGCCAAGGATAGAGCATAAAGGCTATAGACCAACAATACCACATACTTAAGAACTCAGAATATGGTTCATATGAGCCCATCTTTGTTTTTATTTTAACTTTTTAACCTTTTTAAAATAGAAAATGCCATACACGAAAATAGAAAACGATGAATTTTCATGACCACATTACAATAACCCAAAAGGCCTACCTATAACAATTATCAAATTAATCCCATATGTCTTCTCAGCCCATCTGTAAATATTTCATTCTTGAGGAAATTTCTAGAGGACTAACTCCAACCACTCAAGAGATAGCAGAAAATATTTCAGCAAAAGAAATGGCAGAAAGCTTTTTTATTTTTAGTTATAGATCTAAGACAAAACAGGTGTGGTTTGGAGCAGTGGAATGGAATATAAATTCTACACATTTTCATAAAGTAAAAATGAGACAACCAAGCAAAAAAAGGAAGGAGGGGTCTTTTTATTCCTAAGGAGAAAAAAACAGAAAACTCTAAGCCATGAAAATTCAGTCATTCCATTTTACAAATATAAATGCTGAATATGTTTGTTAAATAAAATGCAAGAGCAGAGATAATAAATTATAACCAATTTTCAATTTCCTGTTAATTAAGGGAGACTGTTGTGGGTAATCAAACACAGTGAGTAATTTAAAAAAAAACAAACAAACAAACAGAAAAAAAGAGACGGGGAGAGGAGAGAAGGTGGAAAGTAAAAAACTCTGCCCTTTGTCTCATATAATTTGATGTAATTGCAACTGAGAAGTCAAGTGGAACCAAAATATAATGCTAATGACTGTGTTTGGCTAGTTGGAGAATTGGAATTTGGAGAATTAGGAATTATTTGGGGAATTGCTAATGAAAGAATTGATCTTTGGAGACTTGACTGAAACTCCACAGGTGTAGTAATCGCAGCCTTCTCCTCCTCAGTCAGTCTAGGCTCAACTAGCTCCCCGAAATTCGTGGAGATAGGCCTGGGCTCCTATAGGCTCCCATGGGCTCCTCTGGCACCATGCCCACTGTGTCCCAGACATGGGGCAAAAGTCAAGTCCAATCTGGCCTTGCTCCTCAGGACTCACAATGTTAGGGGAACAGAGGCACACAGTGCCATGGGAGCACCAGCATGGGGGTAGAGGGTAGTGTGGAAGGGGCCACACTGAAGAGGTGGCACCATGGTAAACCCAACGATATGTGAACACGTTGTTATGCGGTAGGAGTACCAAAGGACAGACATTTCCGCATTCGTTTAGCAGATGTTGGCAGAGCACCACTCTAGGAAGGGCATGCACCAAGTAGTACATGGACAACCATCACAGAGATGCATACAGAAAAGTAACTGATTAGTATGACTGTAGAAAAGAGGTATAGGGGGTGTGAGAATGAATCAGCGGTGACCAGACCCATTCTAAGTGTGTGTGTGTGTGTGTGTGCGTGCGTGTGTGCGTGCGCGCGCGCACGCTGGTCAGGGGTGGTCAGGGAAGCTGAGACCTGAAGGATGAGAAAGCTGGAGCCACCTGGACAAGGGTGGTTTGTGGGGGCAGATGGAGAGCATTCTAGGCAGAAGAAATGGCATATGCAAAGATTCTAAGGGGAGCAGGAGCATGATGTCAAGAGAAATGAAAAGGTTCCACATGGCTGAGGCAGAGAGGAGAGGGTGTTATGAGAGGAGGCTGGGGAGGTGGGTAAGGCCCGCAAATGCAGGACATTCGGGTAACATTGGGAGGATTTAAGCTTTTGTTCAGCACAGAAGACCTAATACACAGTGGCTCAAACAATGGGGAAACTGCATCCTCTCACCAAGCATGTGGCAGCTGCAGGATTGATTTAGGGACTGAATAAAGTAGCCCCTAACCCAGGTTCTTTCTGTATTTCTGCCTTTACCCTTATCAGCGAGTTGGCTTTCCCTTAGGCTTATTCCTCCTGTTTACTACAAACAGCTGCCGCAAAATTAAGTATCATTTCCAGTCACAAAAATGTCCAATGGAAGAGGAGGTCTCCTCCCCCTCCCCTTCCTCCTCTCTCTCTCTTTTTTTTTTTTTTAGGATGAAAAACCTATCCCAGAAGCCCCCTAGCCCTCAGACCCGACTGCTCCTCTCCCCTTGGCCAGGGCTGGGTCACACGTCCATCCCTAAGACAATCACTCAGGAGAACAGGATGAAGACATTGTTGGGCCAATTGAGATTTCTCTCCGAGACATGCAAGGAAAGGACGCACACCAGAAAAAAACGTAGCGTCTTTGCCAGTCCAGCCCCATTGGCCTCCCAGCGTGGTCCCAGGTGGTCTCTCTCCGCTTTAGCATCTGCTCCTGGAGATGCTGGAAGCTCCCCTCAGACTGCCCCAGGTGTTTTTTCAAGGGCCTTCCCTTGGCCTATTTTGCAGACTAGAGGAGGCCTTCTTTGGGGGACAGCAACGAGGAACCAAGCACGTAAGTGGGCTCTGCCATAAGGTGAGGGTGGGAGATGCTGAGGATGAGAGGGAGGAACCTGTTAGGCACTTGGGAGGGAATCTCAGATTGGAGAAGGAGCAGATCCTCACCCACAGGCGTGGTGGAGTGGAGGGCATGGGGTGGTGGAGGGAGAGCTACACTGCCCCCTGCTGACAGACTATGAAAGTCCTCCCCGAAAGCCGGCCTTGAATCTGCGTACGAAGGAAGACGACGCTTTTTCGTCAGAATCTCTCCAGAACTGGGAAGTGCCATGTAAACAATATTGTGAATTGAAACGGCATGACTACTTATGTACTCGTCCAGAAGCGAACTAGGTCATTATAGTGGAGGGAATAACGTATGCGAAGACGTTGAAGTGGGGAAGGGGCACAGGGCATCACCAGCCGAGGTGTGGCAGGGGTTCGGATAAGGGCGGCTGCAGGAGCCCGGGCTGAGCTTTATCCTGTGGCAACTGTGAGTCACGCATCAGCAGGGCGTACCCAGGGTTGGTGTCACATGCGTGGACCCGTGTTGGGGAGATGGGAAGGAATTAAGTTTGCCAGACCCAGGAGACCTGCCAGACGAAAATGCAGGCCTGCGTCGGAAGCCAGAGATACCGGTGCACCCGGGAGGGAAAGGGTGCTTGAGGGAGGGGCCTCACGCACACGTGCGCAAGCACACTGTTCCATCCCGCGCTTCATGCCTAAGTGCTCGGCTCCGTGCGCAGCAGACCCCTCCCCTGGGGCCGTGTCGTGGGCGGGGCCCCTGGCGGGCCGGCGGAAAAATGCAAGACCATCGGGCGGGGCCAAGTCTTCCCCGCGCGTCTTCGCCTTGCTGGGTGACTCACCGCCGGATGAGGTCCGGACGCAAACACTTCGCGGGATGGGCGGTGTCGGATCCGCTCCTGCTACTCTACGTCGTTCCCGCGAATTCCCGCCGCCTGAAGTCCTCGCGGGCGCCGGGTTGATGGGTGTTATGAGCTTCCCCACTTAGCTTGCGTGTTACAGTTCCCGAGGCCCCAGTCCTTGGAGCTCCGCCCCCAGCCGAGAGCTGAACCCCTCGAGGATCTGGGAACTGAGTATCCCCCTCCTAAGTAGGATGGGGTTCCTGGAGTTGGGGAAGTGGAGTTGGCTTCTAAATTGAGCTACCGAGGGGTACGTACCTAGATGGGGGTTGAACTTTGGATATAAGGGAGCATCTGGATACGCGGTTGAGACAATGGGAAACAAATTCTTATGGGTTTCCAAATTTGGAATGCCAGGATTCAATGTGGGGGCTGGATTTCTGGATATGGGGGCTCTGTTCTTGGCGAAGGAGGACTGGGCCCAGCTTGGGGGTAGATACGAAGTAGACACAGGGTAGTAACATGTGCTTTAATGAGGCATGAGGCCAAGGGGGCAGCCGCTGACCAGATCAGGGCCTGGAGGGGAGTCACCCATGGCTCGCTTCTGTCATTTCAGGAGACCTAATTTTTTCCCAAAACCGGAGAAAGTCTCCGAGGCCTGGTTAGCAGTCTTGTCCACGGTTTCCTGAGTAGATTTAACCACCTGGTCCATGGCTGGGGAAGAAAAGGAGAGATCAAGTAAGGGTAGGGCCCTGGCGAACCAGAACCATGCAGGGTTAGCCTGGCCTGGGTCTCCCTTCCCAGGAAGCAGTGTGGGGCAGAGGGGTTGCAGAAGAGAGAGTGTGCCTGGTCAAGGGCCAGGTGGGGTGAGAAGTATGGCAGATGGAGTGGGAAGTCCGCAGAGGCTACCCCACCCTCCTGCTCTCCTGTTGCTCCTCAGCCCCACCAGACCTTTCTGCCCTGCATCTGTGGCTTGATCCACCACTTGCTGAACTGCTGCTCCAGCTGCAGTCACTGAAAAAGAGAGATTTAGCCTTTAGCCCCTGTTGAGGCACCATGGACCACAGGGCCGCGCCATTGCCACCCCTCTCATGTTTTCTAGAGTAGTTTGTTCTATAGTCCATAGGGACAGATGCCATCAAGGTAAAGTCTCTTGACCAAGGCCACCCAGCCAGTAAGGGGCATGAGTCCTTTTTGAGCCTCTGGGGTGTTCTTGTTTATTTATAACTTTGGGCCCCTCCCTTCTGGCCCGCTTCCCATTCCATCACCAGGACAGCTGAGAAAATGTCTGACTGGAAGGCAGGCAGGGCAGGGCCAAGCCGAAGCTGGTATCTGGGCAGTGGCTGCTGCTGCTGGGCATGGTCCAGAAAGAACTCTGCCTCCTTTAACAACTTCTCCCCCAGGTACCTGAATTCCCACCTTTAGTGCACCCTCAGTGCACTGGGGCCTCTACTTTTGCAAGGTCCTCTCACCACCTCCTCTTTCCTGTGCCTCACCCCAGAGGGCACACAGCAATGATGCCAATGCCATGGACAAGCAGCTTAAGGCATTAGAAACGAAGTGCAGAAAGGAGGCGGAACTTTCAAAGTCAGGCCATCTCCTCTGGACCAGAGTCTGTGCCCGTGGTGAACAGCATTTCCAGGGCCCTCCGGTGGGCAGACAGGTGACTCCGGCCACCAGATATCTGACTCATCCTTGCTGCTGTACAGGAAAGAGCCTGCCTTACCCACATCCTGGAGTCCTTGTCTTATGTAGCCAGGACCACAAAGAAGGAGCCTTTGCATCCAGCTTACACATAGAGAAAGTGAGGTCCAGAAGGAAGGGTCCTATACATAGAGGCTTCCTGGTAACATGTTAGTCTTGAAAGCAACTGTGGGCTTTCCTTGGGACACTGGTGAAGAAGGGGGTTGGTTTGGGTGGTCTGTTGATTGGGACATGTACAGGACAGATTGGGAGCTACGTTCCCAAGGGACCATAAGCTGGGACTGGAAGAGCTGACACTGGGGTCCCTTCACATCCCTTTCCCCGCATTCTACCTGCTCCAAACTGTGTAACCTCTGATCAGAGGAGGACAGAGCTGGAGGTGGAGGAACTAAGGCTGGGAATCTGCCCTGCTGGGGTGAGAGTGGGAAGGCTCTGGCTGAGGAGTTAAAAGTAAAAAAATATATATATATATTTTTCAGGGGGAGGAGTGCTCAAAACAAAGCCCATTGCTGGTCTGGAGTCTGGAGCCACTTCCCCTACCCCATCTGGCCCTGTGTGCTGAGACCGGGGTGAGCAGAGGACACTCTCAGAGTGGCAGAGCCTGCTCTCTCTGTGGACCTTAACTCTTCCTTAAGGACCTGGGTGGGGCAGCTCCTCGCCTGCGCAGCCTTCTCACATTGGCTCTAGCAATGCCCAAAATGCAGCCCGGGCTCCTATAGCACTGCTCTCCCCCACCCTCACCCAGGATAATCTTCGGGGTGGGTGGGGGTGAGCGTCCTGCTCAGTCCCTGCATCTCAAGGGAGGGAGGGCTCCCTCCAAGCCTGAGCCAGTTGCCAACTTTCGGGTTTCGCAGACCCGCGGCTTCTGCCCCCGACTGTCCAGCTGGGTGCCCTTGCAAAGGCCTCAGGTTCTCACCTGCATCCTGGGCCGCCCCTTCTACTTGCTGCTTCAGGTCCTGCAAACCCTTGCTGGCCATGGCTGGGGGTGGTCTGCGAGGTCGTCAAGGGTAGCTGCAGCGACGTTGGGTCTTACTCACAGGGGCGGCGATCTGAGCACCAGCTCTGGTTTTTAAGTCGCCCTAGGGCCGGCCCGCCCCGCGTGGGGCGGGGGTGAGGGGGTGCGGGGCGGTTCCCAGCAGACCCGGCTCTGCTGTCACGGGAGGACATCCTGGCTTCAAACGGGCCGCGTAGGGAAGGCGGCGTCCTCAATCAGGGTCGGAAGAGGGACTAGGAGCTGCAGAGGGACTGGGTCAGGGGTCCAAAGAGGGGCTGGGGGCAGGACGGGATGCACACACCTCCTGGATCCCAACAGCTTGCTCCGTCCTTCCCCTACCGGGAGGATTTACCAACCTGTGAGCGTAGGGTCAGCGCCAGATCAGGATCTCAAGACTGTAATTGAAATTAATAGCAGTTGCCTTTTATTGAGGGTTTACCTTGTGCCGGGCTCTGCCCCAACGCTTTCCAGCCTCTTGTATAATCTTTACAACTTCGTGAAATGGGTATTATCAATTTATAGGAAGAAACTGAGACAAGCCACTGGCCAGCCGCCACTGGGACCCGGAGGACAGAGGGGTAGGGTGGGTGGGGTAAATAACTCCGTACCCCCGTAGAGGGCGAGTCACTGGCATGCTCCCCTGGGGTTAGTCAGCTAGGCGCTGGAAGAGGGATTAGAGACCTGCTCGTGAGTGGCGGAGCCAAATTCCTGAGTCTAGCAAAACAAACTCCTCGCACTCAAGGGCGCAAGTCCAGCCCCAACCCCGCCCCACATCCGCCCACTCTGGAGTCAGCTTCGGAGCCTGCAGGCCACTGCCGCACTCCCCCGCCCTGTGTCTCCGTGGGGCATCGCGACCTTCTCCAGTGCTACTCTGATTCTTCCTCTCCAAGCCTGTCTGCACCTCTGTGGGAGTCTCTTCTATTCTGAAGCTCTGGGAAGCCCCGTCTACCCGGGTCCACTCTATTAAAGGATGCCCTACCTCTAATGGGGGTGGCAGAAAGAGCGAGGAGGGAGACTTGGGATTAGCTGGTATGGGGTATCTGGAAGCGCGTACACACACACACACACACACACACACACACACACACACACACACACACACACACACACTCTATTGATTGCAGAGAGGCAGGGGAGCGCGCCCACACACACACACACACACACACACACACACACACACACACACTATTGATGGCGTAGAGGAAGGGGCAAGAGCTGAGATTAGGTAGAGGGAGGGGACACCAAGCGCAGACTAAGCGGCAGCCACGCCCGTCCGCTTCTTTCTCCGCCCCTCAGGGCTGAGAGCCTGGGCGGGCCCAGAGCGCAAAGGCGCTGCCGGGAGCCGTCTAATGGTGGGTTTGAGGACTCTTGGAGACCTGCCTGATCATCGCCCCAGACCTGTCGCTCTCCTAAAATCCCACCTGAAGCATCAGTACCTTTAGCCTAGAAGTCCTTTTACACTGCTCCAGTTAGCTCCTCGCTGGGCTGCTGAGGCTACATAGCATCAGGCCCAGTGGGCAAGGAGCAAGACAGGGAGACTGCAGCCGTCCTTAGCAGGTGATAATAGAGACAGCTCTGAGTGGCCCTGGAGTCAAACCTTTTGGGTTCAACTACCCGGTAGGGCAAGTCCTTTCATCTCTCTGTCCCTATCCTTGATGATGGGAGGGTAATAACAATTTCCCCAAAGCGTTACTGAGAAGATTAAATGCCCCACACTCAGTAGAGGCCTTTTAAGAGCAGACAGGGCACCTGGGGCTTCTCTGATAAGGAGGAGGAAAGACGGAAGGAAGTTCCTCCTCTAGGGAACTCATATGAAGCCTCAGAGTTGAGAGCACATATAGGGTTTAAAGGCAAAGTAGACTGCCCATGCCATAGGTGGGGAGGGTCTTCCTGGACTGGGCAGACCTTGATGTTTGGCATTTAACTCCAGGAACAGGCCCTGAGAATATGTCTAGGATGAGAACAAGCATCAGAGACCCTTGCAAGCTCCTTTAGATGAGGCAGAGGGCACTGAAAGCATGGTGAAATACTGTCCCCAGGAGCCAGGTCTATATGTCCCCTTCCCCCAGTCACCTGAGTAGCCCAGCTCCTCCTCACTTTCTCTTACAGTTCAAAGAATTCTCTGGCACACCCAGGTCCCAGGTGGCCTCCTCCTAAGGCAAGCACAGGCCTGCTGATGTGCAAATGTCTGAGCCAGGGCTTGGGGGAAGGAACACCCCTGACAGCCTGAGCCTCTTCCACACCCTTTGCTCCTCCCATCGCAGGGTTTGAGGGCCTGGGGCTAGCAGCCCCCTGCTCCTTTCTGCCTCCTAAGCAGTGGATGTCCATGATCAGCAGACTGGGATACAACCCAGCTCAGCTGTGCTTGACTGGGTTCCCAGTCCCTGGGGCTGCCCCTTACTCCTGCTCCCCACTATAAAGGCAGGATAAGAAGGTGGTGTGGACCTGGTGATGCAGGACAGAGCAAATTTCTCCGAGGAACTGAGGGAGAAATTCTTGACTGAGCATAAGAAATAATCCAAATGGACGCCATAGTTAGAGTCAAAAGGAAAGTTTATTAGAAAACTAATAATGCTCCATAGAACGTCGTCTACCCTCAGAGGCAGAGAGTGAGAGAGCCTGGGAGAGCCTCAGAGGGACAGAGAGAGATAGAGACAATGAGAGGATTTAGCGCACAGGACCAGAGAAAAAGAGACACCGAGAGGGATCCCAAGTGTTTGGGGAACTTGGAGGCAGGATGGGAAGGTAGTATGGACTTAGTAGCATCAGAAGGTGGCTGTGGTGTGGACTCAAGTTCTAGCTTTGACACCCAGGGCTGGAAGCCTGGGACAAGTCACTTAGATGCTCTGAGCCCAAACTGTCTGGGTGTCAAAAGGAAGGGAACCTTGGTCTCTGTTCAGCTACCTCTGAAAGAGCCTCCAGGGTGTGATGCCAACAGCCCTTCAGGCAGGACACTAACCAGCCCAGTCCCAAGACGTTTGAAAACCTGGGGTGTGGCAGCATCTGCCATAAGTTCACTGGATCCCACACAGCCAGAATCGCCATAGTAGAGCATGATGAGATTGAAGAGAAAACCACAAGCCCAAAATGGCATCACTTGTGCTAAAAGCCCATGATACCAAACCTAGATTTAATACCTGATCAACCTCTCCCAGAAGCATAATCTTAACCAATATGAATTTTCTGTTCAGGTACCCATAAGGTAATCTGTCACATGGTCCCTCTATGTCTGTCCCCCATAAAAGAAGAGGCAATCTGCATGATAAAAACCCTTCAATCTCTTCCCCCAAAGAAAAAAAGTCCCTGCCCAGAAACAATCCTTTCTTTTCTTTTGTCAATAGCTCCCTTGCCTTACTCTTCCTCCTATAAAAAATCTTCCATTTTGTACCACCCCTCAGAGTGCCTTTATAGTTGCTAAATGAGATGCTGCCCTATTCATGAATTGCTTAATTAAGCCAATTAGATCTTGAAGATTACTTGGTTGAATTTTTTTTTTTTTTTTTACAATCAACTGGGTGGCTCTGGGGCCAGGCCACCTGGGCTTCTGCCCAGTCCTGAGCTTCTTAGCTTTGTGCCCTTGGGCAAGTTATTTTAACCTCTCTGTTCCTCATTTTATTCTCAGTGAAACTGGAATTAGACCAACTATTTATTCTGAGAATTAAATGAGGCAAAGCACTCAGACCTGTCTGACACCTGGGAGGAGCTCAACAAATGTTCATTTTTACCAGTTTTCTCTCAGGGTGTAGGTTTGTTTCTTCTGCATCTCAGCTGTCGTGTTTTCTAACGATACTTGACAGACTCCTTGATGAAGGGAGAGCCCAGTTCCAACCCTTGTGGGAGCTTGATGCTTGATGCAGTTGGAAGAGCCTGTGGTCATGTCCTTCTCTCCAGTGAGGAAGACTAAGGAAGACTCCTGGCTATGAGTTTAGACTTCACATTTTTGAAAGATACCATCTGCTCCAGGGAGGGATGTTAGGTGTCCCTTTTTCCACAGGACATGAGTGAAGGACACATAGCAGGATGGCCCAGGAGGCTCATCCTCACCTCTTGCTGTCATGGGCCCATCCCTGGAGGGTAAGCCACAGTTCTAACCTGCAGGCATGGTCATGCGCTCCTGAGGACAGCCTGTCCTGTTGGTTTTCCTGGGAGCCCAAAGCATGGCCATCGCCACCATATTAAAAGGCAATGATGGCTGAGTTGGGGTTGGGAAGAGTTCCCTGAAGTCAGTGCCTACTCTCAGCAGGTTTCAGAAATGCCCAAGGTGTCCCAGTAGGACACCTGGTCCCAGATAATGCTTCAACAGGCTGACTCAACTTCTGTTCCCGCAAGGGACCAGGGGACTTATTCACTATACAGAGGAAGCATGGGCAAGTATGACCAGGGTTGGGGACTTGAATTTTATTTGAAATCATTAAAAAAAAAAATCACAGCAGCATCTGTGGAGTCAGAAGGACCACAAACTGGGAAAGGTCAAGGGAGAGAGGTGAAAATAGCAGCAGCATGAAAGGACAGGCCTGTGGTGGCTGGGTACTGGCATGGGAAGCATGGGCCACATCGAAGGTCACACTCCAGGACCGGCACTCCTGTGCCAGGAGAAGATGGGTCCAAGGCAGAGGGGTGTTCTTCTGGGTCTCCAAGGCTGACTTGCAGCCCTTTAGTCTCCCCCACTTTTGGCCTAGGAGAGGGAGTGACCTTCACACACAGTTCTGGGCCCCCACCTGTCAGTGGCCACCCTGAGTGGGGTGGGGACAGGAGTCATCTATACCCCTCTGCCCTGAGGGGGTCATTCATGAGAGGACCTCACACTTAAGCTCAGGAGTCTCCCCTGACGGCTCTGGGACCCCAGGAGGGAAGTGGCTTGTCTGTAAAGGATGGGAGGCTTGCCCAGGGACCCCTGGTGTAGCTTGGGAGCCTAGCTCCTACCTCTTCAGCCGCTTCCTCTTCCACTTTGGCTGCCTCGTCCTCCTGTGTGGGAGCAGGCTGCTTCAGTTCCTCCTGTGGGGAACAAAGGGGAATGTGGGACCACGCAGAGGGCACAGAGCCCCTAGCTGCCCTACGACGAGGGCCTTGTCTACCCTGGCCTCAAAGATGAGCAGAAGCCCTCATCATCTTGTTGGAGACGGTGGGCCAAGGTGAGAGAGGTATGAGGGCCAGACTGACTGTGGAGGTGACAGAGGATCATATAAGGGCCCACAGCAGGGGCTCTGTCCGATGATGCCAAGGCCTTCTGAGGGTACCAAGTACCCTGGACCTCAGCTTCACCTCTACAAGCTGATGCTGAGTCACCTGGCAGCCCCTGGTTGGGCCTTGATGAGGAAGCATGGTAGGGTGGTATGGGTGGGGATGAGCAGTGGCCCCTGAAACCCTAGGCCTGACCTCACCCTCCGTGTCCCTGAATCACATGATCACACACCCTCGTTCTCCTGAGCCCCCCAAAAGCCCCAGGGAAAGGATCATGTTATCACGGGGACCCTGAGGCCAGGGAGGCCAAATATCAAGCTTGAGGCCTCAGAGCTCAAAGCAGCAGGGCTTGTAGGGATCCGGTCTGGCTTTCTCCAGAGCTACCTCTATCCCCAGTAACATGAGTGCCTCCCTCTTTCCTTCTCCCTGCCTCCTGGATAAGCTGGTTCTAGGTTCAGGCTGGTCTGGTTGGGACCATCTGGGGTTATACAATCCTCTCCCGTTTCCTGTCTCCTACTCTCCCCTACGTCCATCTAGATGCTTGCCTGAAATGGGGGCCTGCTTGGGGGTGATCATGTGACAGCTAGTGGGCAGGGCCAGACTGGGTGATCAGCACCAACTTCCGGAGGGTCTGTCACCTCCATGCTACCACAGGGTCATTTTGCTCCTTTGTGGACTGAGGCATAAAAAGGCACCGAACTCTGTCAGCCAGAGTTGGGGCAGGCTCTCCAGGAGAAGGGTATGTGGCCACCTGCCTAGTCCTGCAGCCCCAAGGAGGGCTCATGAGGCCAGTGGCTTGAGTGGTCTGACATACAGGCAGTGCTGCATCCTTCTACAGTTCACTGGAAGGTGAGTCGTGACTGGCTTTGGGTGTCACCAGGAAATGTCTCCCTTGGGGCAGCTACCCCCACCCCAGGACCTGGGGTGGCTCCAAGGGCTCACCAGCCCTCCTCCAAGGTAGAGAGGAATGCAAAAGCAGCCTGGCCCCACCCCAAGGCCTCTTTGCTGGAGGCTGGGGGAAGGAGGGGCCTGGTGTCTCCTGGAGCACATGTGGGTCCTGCCCAGGGGCACTGACGATAATGACATAGACACCTCCCTTTGTTGGTTGGTCTCTACGAGCCAGGTGTGACCACTTCATGGGGGCCATTTCCTTGCATCATCACACAGCCCAGTGAGACAGATATTCTCATCCTCCTCCTAATTTTAAAGATGAGGAAATGGAGGTCTAGAGACCTTGAATAGCTTCCCAAGGTCGTACAGCTAGGAAGGGGCAGAGGTGGGGACAGGCAGAGTGAGCAGCTAGCTGCCTCTCCAAGGACAGGTAGACCCAGTGCTGGCCCTGGAAGCAGATGCCGAGGTGCTGCTCCCAAAGCTAGGGGCAGGAAGGCTGGCCTCCTCCCCTGCCACCCACCCACTCCCAAAGCAGAGATTCTGAGTGCTAGGTGCCCCAGGCAGCCTGTACCAGGTAGGAGAGCTTTCTAGAGGACAGCCTCAGACAGAACTGGAGACAGCCCTTCTGGAATGGGAACACCTCCTGCCCCCATTATGGATCCCGCTCCCCACCGAGACCTTACACTCATACAGAGGCTCTTTGTCAGAGCACAGGCTTGCAGCCCAGCTCTTGCAGCAGGCTCATACAGACTAGCTGTGGGAATTTACACACAATACTTAATCTCTCTGGGCCACATTGCCACACCCTGTCTCATGGGATTTTGTGCTGATTAAATAAGTTAATAGGTATAAAATGCTTCAAGCAGAGCCTGCTGTGTGGTGGGTGCTGGGATGGCTCACCTAGCCAGCATCCGCCTCCTGGGAGTGCCCCAGTGCCCCTGTGTCCTCTACTGCCAGACAGCACAGAGGCACACACACATGCACACATGTACACACACACACTCGCACATTCACAGGCACACTGTCGACACACACAAAGGCAGAGGCGGAGAGTGGGGTCAGAACTTCACTGTTTTCCCATCACTAGGGAGTCTGCTCCCCTGCTCCTGGGAGGAGGAAGCTACCCATAGGAATGTGGCGGTGGGGGTGAGGCTGGACACTGGGTGAGTGTGACTCCCCGGTGTCCACTGGCTGGGAGGCTGCCTGTCACCATGTGGGGCCCACAGGATTCTGCCTTTATTAGTCAAATGCAGTATCTCCCAAATGCTGAGCACCAGCAATAGGGAGTGGTTCTGAGCCTCACTTTCTGGTTGGTCCCCAAACTGTCTCCCTCACAGGAGTGGCTGTGAGGATTCCAGGAGATTGAGTATGAAAACACCAAGCACAGACCATCACAGCCCCTAAGTCTCTATTTCCTTTTATATCAGTGGGGTGATAATGCCTCTTTCCCAGGTGGCCTCTTTGGGGTCCAGGGGAAAGTATGGAACTGGTCTGAGAACCAGGACCAGGAACCAGGTCTCACCTTGCGCACCACTCCAGTGGTGACCGCGATGTTCTCTGCCTCCTCCACGGTCTTGGTGGCCACAGTGTTGACGCTGGTGACCACGGCCTCACTCACTGCATTGGCCTGCTCCTTGGTCTTCTCAGCCACTGTGGGAGGACTCTGGCTGGCCTTGGCCCTGACCCCTCCCCACTCAGGCCTGGCCTGCCCAAGTCAGGCCTGAGCAGCCCCTTTCCCAGGCCAACCCTGGGTCTAACCTCAGGTTTCGAGGGTTCTGGGTCCATGTGCAGTTTGGAACCCCAGCTGGGGGGTAAGGAGAACCTTGGGCATGGGCCTTTAGTACAGGGTGCAGAAGTCCCTGGAGGTCCTAACCCCCATGTTCCCTGGTCCTAGGCTCCTCACCTGAGGTCACGCTCTGCACGACACCCTCCTTGGTCTTCGCTCCTGGGGAGGAAATGGAGGCATCAGCCCAGGCCCACTCCTCTTAGTGTTGGGAGGGGAGTGGTCAGGGCAACAGAACAGCTAGACACGCTTTGGGGCTGGTGTCGGATAAGGATGGTGTCTGGAGGCCAGCAGTCCCTTCAAAAGCCACTTCCTGCCATGTCTGGGGGAAGGGATCGGATGGGAAGTGAACAGGACAGGATGGGGCATGAGAGAGATAGGGCCTGAGGTGGGGTCTGGATCCCCCTCAGGCGTGGCCTGAGCTTCAGAAGCAGCAGCAAGACAGGGCTGACAAGAGCTGAGTCATCATCTTGGCTTCCTCTTCGGGGGAGCTGATGGGGGATGGGGCTAGACAGGACACTGAGTCTGGGTCTCATCTCCCTAGCCCCACCCCTTCCCTCTGAGTAGGGTGGGGTCCTGTGGCCTGGTTGCTGAGCACCTGGTTGCTAGCTCAGCTGCGGAGACTCCAGGCTCAGTGTGGCTTTTTATCTGAGTCAAGGGGCCCTGGAGGAGGGGAGTTGTGTGTGCATAAACAGGTGTATCTCAGAGCCAAGTACCTCTCCTGCTTTCCTGCCCCAGTGATCCCTGGAGTCCTGAGGAGGCACAAACGGACACTGGTGTGTGCGGAGAGTAGGGGTGCCCTGGGCCCAGAGACCCTGACCCAACACCCAGGTCCTCATACCCTCCCAAAATGCCACCCAGGGGGTATGGGATAAGGTCAGACCCAAAGTAACTGGGCATTCTGGGCTCTGGCCACCAAGCTGTTCCTCCCTGCCCCACCCAAACTCACCCACATACATCACACCCTCCTTGGTCTTCTCAGCCGCTTCTGTCACCCCCTGCTTGGTCTTTTCCACAGCGCCCACCACACCCTCCTTGGCGATGGAGAAGCCCTTCTTGAAGACATCCATGGTGGTGGCAGGAACAGAAGCCTGATTCTCCCTGTAAGCTGTGGCTGGAGCTGGCGCAAGTGCTGCCGCAGCCAGTGTCCCCACTGCTGCCTCTTATTGACGCCGATGAAATATTGATGATGCAGCAGCGGCTGGCCTGTGGGAGCCCAGCCAGCCTAGGAGGCGGGGC